CTTGAAGGGGAAAAAAAGAACTATACAGCTGCTTTTAAGCTTTCTGCTGTGAAGAAAGGGATAGAAATTAGAAATTGCATTGGGGCTAGAGAATTTCAAGTTGATGGGAAATGCAAACAAGAAGAATTAGAGAAAATGCCTAAGAATAAAAGATCTTTTTTAACTGGCATCATAGTCTGGCCTGTTTTGGAAGAGAATTTAGAGAAATGGACAGCATAGCTGAGAAAAGGAATTATCAGTGTCAACAGTTAGAATCCACCTTCAAGCAAAAGTAATTGCTAAACAAATGGGCATTAAAAACTTCATTAGTGGACCTAATTCGTGGTTAGATTTATGGAATGAAAGAAATTATCTGACAGAAGCTTCCTGTGTACTGGCTTGAAAAAAAAGAAAAAAAAAAAAAAAAAAAAAAAAAAAAAGATTGCTTTTTTGGAGTACGCATTTAATAAAATTAAAGAACAAAATTTGAATAGAGGGAAAATAATTAATATGGATGAAGGGCCCATTATTTTTGGTTGTCCTCCAAACAGACCTGTTCATTCAGCAAGTAAAAATACTATTTCTTCTTTGACAATTGGGAATGAAAGGATTTCTTTTACTTGTGTTTAGGGATGTGTCAGCAATGAAGTGAAGTTTAATCCCTTTGATAATTTTCAAAAGAAAAACAGTTCCAAAAGAAAACTTCTTTAAAGGGTTATTATTTGTGCTAACAAAAAAGTGATAGATGTGCAAAAAAGTAATGTTCCTTTGCCAGAGAAGAATTTATTAAAAAAAAAGGAAAGTTTTTTTTTTCCCTTACAAGACTTGAAGACTCAATCTCAATATTCTGGATTGAGTGCCATCTCATTTAGTAGATACTGTATAATTTGAAGTGAAAAACTTTGCATCGATGTCTCAGTGATACCAGGTGAACTTACAGAAATTTTACAGCCACTGGATCAATGAAATTTTCAAGCACAAGCTATGAAAGTAGTGGAGGGGGGGAATGGATGCAAGGAGGACTTCATTCCTTCACAAATTCTGGATGGATGAGAAAAGCTTCATGTGAGAAGGTCACATTGTGGATCCATAAAGCATGGCAACCAATTCGAGCTGATACAATCTTATCAGCTTTTACTGAAATCATTGAAAAAAAAAAGGAAAATGATGATAGCGATGTTGGAAGAAGTGATTTAGAACTGTGATGAAAATGATCTTGATGATTGTTTGTTAGTTTATTTAATTCTGACATTGATGAGTCAGATTTTGAAGTCTTTGTATAGATAAATGCAGTTTATTTTAATTGTAAAATTCTGTTTGATTATTTAATTTATGTATTCGTTTTTCATAATATGGTAATTTATAGTGATAAGCAAAGTTTACCCAACCTGTAAAAAAAATGTCTCTTGGAAATCATCAGAGTTTGTTTTTGGCAAGATCAAGGTATACTTTTTATAATTATGTGGTAAATGTAAAAATATTATAAATGATGATTACATCAGTATTGAAAGGAACGAACTACTGAATAAATGGATAACAAGTGCCATTTTTCGGAATGCTTATGCTTTGTTGCGACATATACAGTGGTGTGACTATCCGATAAACTTTGACTTTTTCGTCAATTACCCTGTGTGTGGGATATACACCAGGGTGGCTAATCTACCCAAATTACAGTAAATTCATATTACACTCTTTTACACCAAAGTTGTTTGGTTAATTGGCGTAAAAATGTATAAGTTTTTGCTTATGTAACTTTTTTTTTTTTTTTTTTTTTTTGTAGTAATTTCAACCTTAACTCGGAACTACATATGTTTATAAATTTCTGTGACAAGTGAATAAAGTGATCTTAGTTCCGTTCATAAATTAAGTAAAATAACATTAGAATAAAGCTACATGGCTATAAAATGTAAGATTCCTTATCACTTTCACAACTTTTTTAACACTAATTAATTTAATGGTGAAATTTAAAATGTGCTTAGTACAGTCAAAAGTCGTTAAACCGGACTCCTCAGCAATTCGGTGATTCCGGATTATCGATTTTTCCGTATTACAGATCATCAGTTTAAATCTGGTAAGATGGCATGCAGAAATTACAAAATTAAAAATATGAAACCGTAATTTATGAAATAAAGAACAATTTTGATCTAAAAGGGTATCAAAATTTACAAAAAGAAAAAGCTTAATATTTATTTGTTTACTTTATTCAATATTTCTTTCAATGTAAGTTGTTTAAGTTGCTTCGTTGCATGTAATAATACTTTCTCTTTAATTCTATTAAACAAACATAATTTCTTGTTTAGTTACAAAGTTCCGCTGTTCAAGTTCTATAATTGCTGTGTCGAGAATACCGACTAATTTGTCAATCGAAATTTTTTCGTTTTCAAATAACCTCTGTTACTTTCTTCACTATCGGAAGCAATAATTATAATGACGAGGAACTTGTTTTAAATCATATCAAAGACGGAGTACATCGAGATGAAATACTACATTTGGTAAGGAATTATAAGCCAAATAAAAGAAAAACATCTGCCCTGAAGATAAGGATAGTGCTGACAGATCAACTTCTAATTCATTCCCCACCGAGCAGCGTGAAATTGATAAACAGATTTCGGATTTCGAAACATACTTTCGGTTTAGGTCCTTTATATATTAACAAATATATATCGGAAATTCTATTTGATATAATCGAAAGTTTAAGCTTACTTTTATAAAATTGCTCTAACGGTCTGCAAAAAATAAATAAGCCAGATCCAATTCGAAGATTAAGGAACAACGCATTCTGCAACATTAACTGAATTAGATAATTTTAGCTTAGCTTACACCGTCCGTTATACATTATATATGTGTAAACGTTTTATGAGCATGCGCATAAGCATATTCGCAGCCGTAAAGGTCTTACGCGCGCACGTAAATGCCTATGCACAGAAGTTTGTAGCTTTGAGGTCTGGATTATAGATCATTCCGGATTATGGGTGTCCGAATTAACAACTTTTGACTGTACAGGGTTCGTAGCGGTCCTTACAAGTGCTTGTAAGTCCTTATATTTGAAAATAAAATATAAAGGCCCTTGTAGGTGCTTACTTTTTCTTTAAAGCCCTTATTTTTTTGTTTTTAGTGCTTATTTTTTGCTTTTAGTGCTTTTTTTTTAATGAAAGCGCATTTTTTCCCCTTACCAAAGCTGAAACTAAATAAACAACTTTTCTTCCTTATATGGAACGTCAGATGGTGAATCATACTCCAGGAAATAGCTTTCTCTCCCTTTCTCTGCATTAACGTTAACTTTTAGTGCACATGAGAGTACAGACAAGTGCACGTCGTTCTATTGGTCAAAGAATTGCAAAAGCCAGTACATTCGGTTTTCTTTTCCTCCTACCCAAATACTACACACGTTTGAATTTCTATCAAGATTTTATTAATTTGCTTTCTTATTCCACATGGTCAGTTCATATTCGCGTTTATTATGATCGTTATGCTTATATTATGAGCATATGTATGAATATTTATAATAATTTAGTTGCAGTAACTGCTGAAGTATAGATAAACTTCCAAAAATGGGTAAGTGTTTTTTTAACACAGATTAGCTTTCTAAGGAATAATTTTCAGAATGGCTTAAATAAAGGGAAAGTAATCGAATAGTCAAAATAATTTCATTTTTTTGGCCAATGCATTATACAGTAAGAAGGTTCTCCCCTTTCTCTGCAAAATCCTGAATATTGAAACCGTTGCAGTTCGCTAGAAAACGAGCAACAGACTTTTTTTTTTTTTCACTTTCCAATCTTGATTGAATAGGACTAAAAGTTCTGCGGTCTACCAACCCAAGTGGAGAATGATTCTATTCCAGAAATTTAACGCAATCTGTGTAAAATTAGAATGAAAAACACCCCAGATTGGTAAGTCTCTTTCTTTTCCTTTATTTAGTTCTTTATTCTCCGAATACCGGCAGCTGTTGATTCCGATTTCGTAATATCACATGCAGAAGAATTACAGTGCACATATTGTGCAATAACGTTTGTGATATTTTGCAGAGATAATTAATTTTGATGTTCAGTCTGAGATTTGTTTATGAACACTTAAAAGATTTTTACTGTACTTGTTAAGCAGAATATTTTTCAGTTCTATTGGTCTATTTTGACATGATGCACATATTGAAATGTCAAAAGCATTTATTTAACCGAAAAATCTAATGAATGGCTACTATGTACCCACCGCTCCTCCTTTTCCAGTTACGCTCACTGTTGCCAGAAAATTTTCAACTAAAGTAGCAAAAGAGACTCGAAAAGTCACAAATGACATCGAAGATCACGTGATTTTTGTGACATCATAGTTACGCTTGGTCATATGACCTCTGACGTCATCACAAATTTCAGTATGTTAGAGACTATATTCGATCCTTAATGGTTTTAATTACGTATCTTAGCTTTAACGAAAATTTTAAACCACATTGCTCATTTTCAATTGTTTAAATATCCATTCTCTTTGTAATTAATTCTCATTTAATTTAGATTTCTGTTTTTAAAATAATTTGTAAGACATTCCTCACGTTAAGATTGTTAGTTCTTTTCTACTAAATTTTTTTAGAGTTGGCAGTTTTTTTTTTAGGTGCGAAGCAAATACAATAAATATGGATTATTATTATTTATTTTCTCTATTTTAACTGAAATTTTATCATTAAATCATGTAATATAGTTTAGTTATGCAGTTTTTATTCTCTCATTGTAAACTAGTTCTGTAAATTGAATTGCTATTTAAAATTAAAAAAAAAAAAAAAGTATTTGTTTTCCATGGTTGAGGTAATGCTCATTCTCTCTAAATACTGCATTTTTCATATTTTAAATTACAGATCTAATTTTTCTTTTAAGGTTTTGCAGTTGTGTAGTGTAATTAGACAGGTGCTTTTTTTTTTTTTTTCTTAAAATGTGCTCGAAAAGTGCTTATTTTTTTAACTAAAATGTGGCTACGAACCCTGTTAGTAATATTTTGTTAAGCTAGAAGTTTATAATTACGAATTTTGTTTATTTCAGGCAAGGGATATATATGAAGAGGCAATTAATACAGTTATGACAGTTCGAGATTTTACTCAAGTAAGGGAATTTATTCATTTATTTTATAGTAGAGTTCCAATAATCTGTTCACCTTAGGACAAAAGGATTATGTGGAGTAATCAATTTAGACGAATATAGATTATGTCTTCCTAAATTTTGCTTCAATTTTTTTTGTTAAATACAGGTTGTTTCTCTTAACTAACTAACTGAAGCACACTGAAAGCATTAGAATTATTTAAAAAAGACATGCTAAATATAAAAGTATTGTAATTTTTAAACATAATTTATATGCAAAGAAAATAATTTCATTTGAAGAGAAATACCTCATAAACAGATTTTTAGGAAGATTCCTTTTATAGAGACACATTAAAGAATTATTTGTTAAAACAAAATATAATCCACCAATAAGCTGAGGAAAACTAAATAAATGCTTTACAAAATAGCCAACAGTGTTTAAACCTGACAAAAATCTTTCAATTCCTTTTTCCAAGGTTCTTTCTCAGTTGCCTATAGATGTAAACGTACTTGCTTCTGGGCAGAAAGTAAACAAACTAGTCTAAACACAATGTCTGGAAATTTGTGAATGTTAAATTTTTAAAATATAGGACATAATTTTAAAATCAAAATTTAAACATAAATTTCAAATTAATTTTAAAAACAATAAAAATGCACCAGGTGAACTTACAGAACTTTCACTTTAAATAAACTGCACCAAAAATAGCAGTTTATTTAAAGTGAAAATTTGCCAAGATTCATAATCTTAGTTTAAAAAAAAGGGGAGTGATGCAAGTGCAGAAAATATTAAATACTTAGGTAATAAAATAAATCCACTTCTTCAATCAAAATATGTTATAAATAGTGTTCTTAGAAATAGTTTTTTTAAATAGTGTTTTTATTTTCGTATGGATACAAGAAAAAATTGCAATTGAATTTGTCATGCAGAATTTTCTTGAAAATCAAAATTATTGTTTGTACATATTCCAAATTGAATGCGGCAAAATTGAATTACAAATATATGTGCATTAAATGTTCATGAATTGTTGGAACTCTGTTATATTTTTTATGTGTATCTGTACTTTTGCTGGTTTACTTATCGAAAAATTAATTTTCTTCCCTAAATCATATTTTTATGTGTACTAGTGCATAAAATTTATTTTATGGTATATTAAATTAATTGTTTACTTTTAATTTTTTAACCTTTCATGAATTTTATAATGTATAATACTAAATTGTATAATTTTTATTTTATTATTACAATTTTATGGGATATTTTAAAACTGAGCATTAGGATAAATGAATTTTTTAAATTTATATTAATTAAATAGGATATTATAAGAAATACAGTCAAAAGTCTTTAATCCGGACCTCAATGCTACAAACTTTCTGCGCATGCGCATATGCTTTTACGCTTGCACATAATATTTTTACGCATGCGTGTTTAATGTATAACGGACGGTATAAGCTAAGCTAAAATTATCTAATTATCTATTTCATTTAATGTTGCAGATTGCATTGTTCCTTAATCTTCTAATTGGATCCGGCTTATTATTTTTTGCAGACTGTTAGAGCAAATTTATAAGTCTAAAAGAATTTTCGATTCTGAACCTGCCAAAGGATCAACAAAGTGAAAGCATGTTTCGATGTCCATCAAACAAAATGTGCAATCGCTGCAGAAAAATGGATAAAGGCATATCCTTTGTTTCTCTAACCATTCTGAAATCTGTTTATCAATTTCACGCTACTCCGTTGGGGGGGGGGACGTCGTGGCGTGCAATGGACTGGAAGTTGATCTGTCAGCTCTATCCTTATCTTCAGGGCAGATATTTTTATTTTATTCAGCTTATAACTCCTTACTAAATGTAGTATTTCATCTCTATGTACTCCGTCTTTGATATGATTTAAATCAAATTCCTAATCATTATAAATATCATGAATACACATGAAATAGTTTTCTGGTTGCAATTTTCTAATTTCGACTAAGCATAATGTTTGCTTTACGCATGCGTGCATTGAGAGAAATGTTTAATAAAGTAAACAGATAAATATTAAGCTTTTTTTTTTTTTTTTTTTTTTTTTTTTGTAAATTTTGATACCCTTTAGATCATAATTGCTCTTTATTTCATAAATTGCGGTTTCATATTTTTAATTTTATAATTTCTGCATGCCATCTTACCAGATTTAAATTGATCTATAATTCGGAAAAAACGATAATCCGAAATCGCCGAAGTTCCGACGAGTCTGGATTAAAGATTTTTGACTGTATAAAGAAACAATGCAGAGTAATTGAAAATTTATATGCATAATGTATTTGCACATTTCATACTGTAATAGATAGTGTGTAATAATCTACTATTGCTAAGTTTAGACACATGGCAGTGTGTCAGCCAAGTTCGGAACAGATGGAAAAGAAAACGGCAAGGCACAGACCATGTGAATCTTGCACGAACCATTTTGAGATACTTTCGGCTACTCTATACTCAAAAGCTATTAGACCTACAAATTTGCAATTTTGTATGTCTAATAGAGCTCCCTTGATCCCTTAAAATCCCAAATTTCATTAATATACCTCTTGTAGTTATGGAATTATTAATTGTCATTTTTATCACTCATTGACTGTCTCACTCATCACAAGTCTAGACCACTTCTAAATGACTTAAATACTTAGATATATCTAGTGAAAGGTAATCTTCAAAATTTAATAATGAATTAGTAAGTAATCGATTCTGTATTGAATCATCTGCCATGTGTGCAGAGTTGAATTTGCAACTACTTTTTAGACTCTAGAAGTGGTTACAAGTTTGTTCAAAGAATTTTGGAATATCTAAATAGATCTATCAGAAAGTTATAACAGTCTTATCTTAAATGTGCAACCTATCATTGTTCAGTTTAATCCTTGGAAGCTTGTAATGGTTCGTGTTAAAGATTTGCATCCAACTGATAAAGAGGGTTGTTGCTTACATATTAATTGATAATTGCCATTTCCACAAAGTTGATTAGTAGTAATTTGCTGTTAAATATCTTTCTTTCTATTGCAATCATATGTCATCTTACCATTGCCAACAGTAGATAAATTATGCTTCAATTGTAAATGCAGTTTTCTTCCTTCATACTAATTCTCCTCTTTTATTCTTACAATTTCTTTGTATTTATTAGGGTTGCAGTTCCGGAATATATGCATTATTGATTGATGTATGTTTTACATTCATTGTATTGTAAGCTTGTGAATCTTGCTACCAAGCTTGTATAATGCCTTATAATCCTTTGTAATCTTTTTTGTCTTATGTTGAAGAAAAAGAAATATATTCTATTACCATATCTTGATGAATCCCAGAAGCATATAACTGTAAAATTAAAATGAGGTTTTAGTTAGTCAATATAATAATGAAAATTACTTTAATGGTAAGGAGAACAGAGTGAAAAAATTATGATTCTAACATATATTGGACTCTTTCTCATTGGCAGATATCAGTTGGTATGGCTCTTTGGCCATGTAGCTGAAAGATCAATGCTAAATTGGGAAATTATAATAGGAACATTAAGCGCTGCAGTGCACTTATGGTACATAATTGGAAGTCCTGAAATTTTTTAGTGGAACAGGGAAATTGTGTCTCCTATTAAATACCTTGAAATCATTCTTAATGAAAAATCCAAAGCTGTAAATTTACAATGTATGTACATGCTTGTATTTAAAAATGGCTTTTTTTGAATTTTGGGTAAACTAAATTGGTCTCTGTATACAAGAAGTTTAAAACAGCAGTTAATAGAACGTTATTGAGACTATACATGGTTGCTATAGTTAGTCATATATATCATGGAAAATTATTGTCAAGAAAAAAATAAAGAAGCCATTATTGTATAGTTAATAGCTATAGAAATCCATAGGTGTAAAGCCCATGGTAATAAGATGGTACTTTCTGATTATCAGTACCCCTCCCCCCAACATATACAGAAAGTGCCAGTGAGTATTGATGACTTTGTGTATTGTCAAAAATGTTTGAATATTTTTACATCTCATATGTAGTCATTTATAAATAATAATTTGAAAAGCAATTTATGAAAGGGAAAAATAATCTAATGGCTGATATTTATATTTTTACAGCTGGCATATGCTATTCATTGAAATGACAGCTAAATGTAAAGCTTGTAAACTTGCATGTATGTAAGCACATGTATGGCTCATGCATGAGTTGGTTGGTGTCACATGCATACTAACAAATGGGCCAAAAAACATGACAGTTCGTCTGAATGGTCAAACCCGGAGGTATGGGTAATCAGAAAGTACCATTAGGACTTCAGAATGCACTGGTAGTTTGACCTAGGTCCATATCACAGCAAACATACTGGCTGCATGGACATTTTTATTGTTTTCACCTTGTGTAAGCATGGATTCAAACCAGTTTCTCTTAGAAAGTTGTCTGTGAAGATATCCCTTCCCTTAGAAAGATAGTCTTAATATGCTTTGCTTATCCGAATTTTTATTAATATATTAATTTTTAATTAACCACTGTGCTGATGCTGAAGTTATAGTAAATACATAACTAATTAAATGCAATAGAATGCATACTACATGGTAATCTAAAATTTTAAGATTTGAATATTAAAGTGAAAGAGAATTCAAGAGCAATAAAAATGGCTAAGCCTTTCTTGCTTTGTCATTTCTAATTTTAATTTTTTTAAAATTTTTATTTAGTTTCTATTTATTTTTACTTATTGGATGTTTTATATCATATTAAGAAATTGAGAACATTTAACCACATTTGTATGATTAATGTAGTTTTACATAAATTCACAGACAAAAGAGAAACTTTTCTTTTTCGCAGACAACTTTCTAAGAGAAACTGGTTTGAATCCATTTACTAATTGTTATTTTAGTTTCATGAAGTGTTACATCATATCCTAGAAGGTTTTCAACAAAAGAAACACACTGGTGGCATTTTTCTCAACATAGCCAAGGCTTTTGATCGTGTCTGGATGGACTTCCTAATTTGCAAACTATACAGTCTGGGTTTCCAAGATTATATTATACACATAGTTAAGTCTTATCTAACAGGTGGACACTTTGTCATTCGCATTGCAAACACATATTCAATCAGCCAAGCTGTACTAGCCGGCAATCCACAAAGGCCCCCTTTGGGCCCCATATTTCTCAACATTTGTGTGAATGACATTCCTAGCACTTCTAACACTACACTTGCAGTGTACACTGATGACAGAGATTCTTGCAGAAGGGACATAATCCTTCTGCAAGAATTCTGAGTCCAGTCATCCAACACTAACTGTACTAAACTTTACATATTGTATTATGTATTACACACCAGTTCTTGCATTATTAGATCATTCATTTAAGTTAATTTGGAATTCATTTGAAAGTATGAATTTTTTCCATTAGGGGTAGGGTCTCGAACTCAGGCACCCTGGTGTCTAATGCTGTTCCAGAGAGGAGTATTTGAAATGCAAAAAAAGTTAAATTTCATTTCCTGAATTTTATGGTGTCTGTCAATGTGTTTATGTCTTTGCTTATTATGTTTTTATATAGTAATAATTATTAATTTCCAATTTCTGTTTAACAGGTTTTTGATGCATATTCACAGTGCGAAGAAAGTTTGATCAAAGCAAAAATTGAATTAGTTCAGAAAGGAAATTCAACAGAGGAAGGTACTTTACTTTTAAGCAAAAAATGGTTTTTTGACCTCTATATGTGTGTTACCTATTTTTCTAAATTTCATACGCTGAGTATATTAAGCTTCTGTCTATGTATATTATGTTTTTGTTATTTAAAAAAAATGTATTATATACAAATGTGAATATTGTGGGTATCAGTGAATATTTTTAATCAGCTAAATTCTTTATGTTTAATTACTCTTTAATTTATTCTTATGTTTATGCTTTAATTTTGTTTAGTATAATATTAAAATATTAATTATGTATTATTTCAAATAATTTAGTCTAGTTTAAAATTAATTTCTTTGCATTACTTTCAAATTTCCTGTTCTGAAATGAATTCCTTCACATAATATTTCTGTTTATACAGTGTTGGTGTAAATGTAAGTATTATACCATTTAAGAAAAATGTTCATTATGCAGATGAATAAGTAAATCTACATTAAGAGAGGTTATTATGCAGTAGTTTTTAAATTCTATTAACAACATGAATGCTGAGGATGCTAAAAATAAAAAATGCACTTCATAAACTACCATTAAAATCTGTTATTATCTCTATTATTATGTATATCTTAAATATAACACAAAAATGGTTTTAATTTATTGTTGTATATACCTTTATTTACATTTGTCTGACAACAATGAGGAAATATTTTACTCATTAATAAATCAGGATTATAGATCACATATGCGATAACCACAGTATCACAGCTTCTGTGCTGTTACCTCTCCAAAAGTTTAGTTTAATTGTATTTTGTAGGAAATTAATGATTTAATCTTTTTTTTTTTTTTTTTTTTTTTTGTGTGTGTGTGTGTGTCTTTGTCTTTTAATACGTCTCTGTATTATGTTTGTAGATACCCTTGAACTAGATTTAAGACTCGCGTGGTTCGATTATTTACTGGAAAGAAGACCTCTCTTATTAAATAGGTAATTTCTTGCTATTTTATGTTTGATCTGTAGTTCATGTTATCTTTTGATTAATTTTCATGATAACCTCATTATTTTCATAATATCAATTTCCATAATTAATATGTTTTTTGTAGTGTCTTGTTGAGGCAAAATCCACATAACGTACATGAATGGCATCGGCGCATCAAACTTCTGGAAGGAAAACCCAAAGAGGCAAGTTTTTAAATTCTTTGGATGATAATCAAAAAGTTAGTGACAGTATAAAATTTTACTCTTAGTGTTTCTGAGAAGTAAATTTGAAGTTCAAATTTAGTTTGAGCAATGCATATAGAATGTATTTATATGAATTATAGCATAAATAAATTTTTTAAACTTGAAGAATACACACATACACACATATGTTCACATGCATTTAACTTATATACTGAAAACTGATCTATAAAGTAAGTACTGTTTACGCATATCTCCTGCATTTCTGACAGCAAGAAGGTTGTGTGTGCATAGTTAACATAGTTCAACTCAAGAAGAATTAGCGTAGCCATTTTGTTTATTGAAATTAACATTTGAAGTCATTGTTTATTGGCAGTCATGTTTAAAACTATTGGCCAACCTGCCAACTGGGAATTAAGAGCCATTATCAAGTTGAATGCTAGAATTGTTTGACCTTGTGAAATTGATCATCACATAAGTGAAACTTACAAAGAGTACTCGATGAGTGAAGGTATGATGTGAAAGTCTGTTAGGAGATTTAACGAAGGAAAGGAAAATGTCCACAACAAGGAACGCAGTGGACACCCTTATTGATCACCAAAGGATTGGTGTGCTGCATTGATGAAAAAGTTCATCCAATAGACAATTCACAGGTTTGCATTGTCAGTGCATTTTTGAAATATTTCACGATTTTTATTATGTGAAATTGTGACTTGACATTTGTACTACAGAAAATTGTACTCTCAATGAATATCAAAACACTAATGGGCATTTTAAAATGGAAACTCGTGGGAGCAGCCATGAAGTTTTTGCTGCACAAGGGAATGATTTTTTCAAGGAGTTTGTTACTAGCAATGAAACATGGATTTGTTACGAGACATCTGAAATGAAACGACAATCACTGGAATGGCTAATACTGGTTTCCCAAAACTAAGCCACCTCTTTCTTTAAAAAAAATCATGTACAGCATTTTTTGGGACTGTCAAGGATTTCGTTAGTTTACTAGATGGAATGAGGCACAACAGTCATGTGACATTAAAGAAGTTACGTTGATTGATACAGAACAAAAGGTGTGGACTATTGATTTCTGGTATTGTGTTCGTGCATGACAAAGCACGACCTTACACAGCATGTGTAATGAGGATGCTGCTTGATTCATTTTGCTGGGAACAATTTTGTCATTTGCTTTATAGTCAGACATAGCTCCATCTGACTTCCATTTGTTTTCTTATCTGAAGAAATTTCTTGCTGGCCAGCACTTTGCAAGTGATGATGAGAACAAGGAAAACTTCTAGAACTGGTGCAAGTTGCAGGCAGCCAAATTCTATAAAGTAGGCATGTTGCAGTTAGTGCCAAGATATGACACATGCCTTAATTTGCATACTGAATATGTTGAAAAGCAGTTCAAGGTCTATAGATTTTTTTCTGTATTGAAATACAAATGAAAACATATTTCTTATCTTTTTTAATACCCAAACAGTATTTACTTCCTGGATTAGCTTTGTACAATGCTCTGTGTTCTGATAAGGTAATCAGCAGGCTTTCAAAATTTGCAGTCAGAAGTGAGAAATGAAAAGGGGCATAAAATATTAAAGTACTCATAGTTTAAAAAAAAGAAAAAAAAAAGTAAGTAAAAATTGCACTGAAAAACAGCCAACCTGCATGACATTCTCTGTGTGTTGTTATCTTCAATGAAAGAAATACAAGTGAAGAATCATAGGGCTATGTAAGGAAATCTCCATAATTTCAGATGATTTTGGTATTTTATGACGGTATTAACCTGTAACAGGGAAATCAAATATTGGGACATAACCGGAGATGTGCGGTCACAGAGACCGCATCTCATTATGATTTAAATAAAATGTTCTAATCAAAATATTAAAATTTTATCTTACCCATACATTCTATAAACACTTATCTTCAAACAGGGGGGGGGGAATTATTTTACAAACAAATCGATCAACACAAAGAACATCTTTTCACCAACATGAACTTTTTTTTATGAAAAACCACTTGCAAATGTAAATTATGCAAATCAAACCAGAATAACTATTATTTTTATGAATAATAATTATTTTCCAATAATTTAACATATAATAGATACATTCAGGTGAAAAATAAAAATATTTTACAAAACATTAAAAAAAATGACAATACCTTAACTATCAGTAATACCATTGTGTTCTTGCAAAAATTATCAACTTACTCAGCATATTCTTGTGTACATTCGTGACATAATTTTTGTGAACATACCAAACAAACTGGCGTTTTACAATCATAAATACGAAGTTTTCAGTTCTTTCTTTTTCTCTAATATTTCGTTTGTGAAAAGGAGTTCCGTTTCACCCAATTTTCCATATGCTCTCCTGGAAGATAAGCGTGAGAGTTCTCGCATTTCGTTGAGGTTCAGTACATGACCATTTGAAATGGTTTCTCCCATAACAATATTTGTAGATGAAATGGTTTCAGTCTCTGGTTCAGTGCATTCGTTGTCAGATTCAGAAAATTCTGATGTTGTGGAATGCAAACTTTCATTTGCAAAATCTTCGTAGCATTCATCTTCATCGCTAAATTCACTTCCTACTTCATCAAGAATTCTTTGCAGCTATTCTGCAAAACGTGAATCAGAAGGATATACGATATTTCTTGGACCAAGTGTCAGAGCCATGTTTCCACCTGGGAGAGAAGTCATAACACTGAGAAGGAGGTGCGGTTTGACATACTGCTCTCGGACAAAGGACTAGAATTTCACAATGAAGCGGATGCAAAAAATGTTAGCCAATGGGTGAGAATTATCACCATCACAAAAGGAGAAGCTAGCAGGAGAATCTACTCAATCAGACTAAATATAGAATAGAGGTGATAGGAACAACACCTGTAGCGGTATCTGAGACCGCACCTCCTCAGTTACGGGTTAAACATTAATAACAGACTTAAGGAATATGTCAGATATTTATGGTTAATGTCATTATTTAATTATGTTTTTAGAAATAATGGTCATTTTCAGAAATAGTCTTGTCAAGAAAGTGGGCACCATGAGAAGTTTCACAATGTATTATGAGCTCTGAGGCATTATATTATCTTCAGTTAATCAGTTATTTGATGCTGTGTATTTAGTCAGATGTAAAGCAGTTTAAATCATGACACTGCTTCTAAAAATGTGTTGATTATTTTCAAAAGGGGAAGTCAGTCAATAAATGTGATGTATAAATAAATCCTATTAAAAAAAAAAAAAAAAAAAAAAAAAAAAAGAAAGAAATAGGAAGAAGACATATTTTGCAGAATGATGAGATTTTGTATAAGGTAGACAAGTAGAATAGTGTTGCAATCATATCAAGATTCCCCCCCCCCCACGTCTGATAAGATTTCACAATTGATTGTTTTTTACATTAAAAAAATTCAGACTTAATTTTTCATAAAATTAATTTTCAGTTAAAAAAGAAGAGTTAAAATCTTTCCTATCATTAAAGAATAAGTAATGATGTTATCAATAAAAGAAACTCAAAAGAGGAAAATGGTAAAATCATAAATGAATGCTAGCAAAAATTAGGATCTTTCTAATTTTATGTTTAGGGAGGATACTTATTTTGAAAAACAAAATAAGTCTAGTTTGAAGGAAGAAAATAGGAAGATTATTTTATGGGGAGGGGTGAGGGCAAGGGAGATTAATTCATTAGTTTCAATTCATGGAAAATGAGTTCATGAAGTGTGGTTTTAATACATCTTGTTATTTTAGGTACTGGAAACATTACACGACAATGATTGCTAGGAAAAGGATCGTAATTTAATAATGCAGAATATTTAAAATAAATCTTTGAATTATTTGAGAGCAATAGAAAAAATTTCGTAAATTTGTTTATAATGGACATAATGCACCTTCCTTTATTAGGAATGACAGAACAACATGGAGAATCACTTTCAAACACTTCAGGGATAAATCTTTGAATTGATTGAGAGCAATTGAAAAAATTTACTAGATTTGTTTATAATGGACATAATGCACCTTCCTTTATTACGAATGACAGAACATGGAGAATCACTTTCAAGCACTTCAGGGATATATGTGGTGTAACATAGAGGTAGAATTAGTATGTTTCAATTAAACAAGCTGATTAATTAATTAAACAAACAAGTACTTGATTATTTAACCCTCTGAGCATTACGGTTTACCTGAAATTTCAAAGTTCCTCAAAATGTCATGAATAAGTGATAGTTTCTTGATTTTAATTAAAAAATGACTCTTTCATTATGTACCTTGATTCCTTTTCTTCCAATATACATCCAAACTGAAATCAGATACACTAAAAGCTAGCAGAAATTTTTATGTATAATGAATGTGGAAGGCAACCTTCTGTATGGAATTTTCCGGCCTTAACCGTGAGAGGGTTAATAATACCTTTTAAAGAAATCAAAAAGAAACATCAGTGTTTCAAATCAAAGGTAAAATTAGTGTTTTTCAAATGAATAGGTTGAGTATTTGACTATTTAATAATATCTTTTAAAGAAATCGGAAGGAAAGATTATTTGTTATGTATTTATAACGAAAGTGATTTGATGACCTTTATTGATTCTCTTTGAATATAAAACCATCTTTTAATGATTTACTTGAAATTTTGTATGTTTGCGTATGTGTGAAGACAGATCTTTATGAATTAGCAGCAGTTTTTGGGGGAGGAGAGGTTGTATAAATTTTAAATGAGTATTCAAGTATTCAAATTAACAGAATTAGATACCAATTAATTCTTTAAGAAAAATGCACCAAGAAATGCAAAATTTTCTTGTTTATTGACATGTTATAATTAATCATACTATATAAGAATTAATAAAAGACTTTTTAAAATATTATCTGTATAAAAAGATTAGATCTTCAATTCATATAAAGCTTTTTTGAAGAACAATGATAGTGTTTCTCATATTTTTGAAAATAAATTTGCCATAAAAATATTTTGTTTTATAAACTTATATCATAATTTTTACTGTTTTAGATTGTGAGTACTTATACAGAAGCTGTGCAAAAAGTGGATCCTAAATTAGCTTGTGGGAAACTGCACACATTATGGGTTGCATTTACTAAATTTTATGAAAGCCATAAGCAACTTAATGACGTAAGTGTAATAACAAGAAGCATTCTTATAGCTCATTTACATGCACTTTAGTGTATGTAAATGAATGTTTAGTATGTAAATGTAAATGTTTAGTGTAAATTTTTTACTTGTGTAATTTCATAATTACGCTTGAAATAACATAATTTCACTTCAATACATAATTTTACTTGAAATTATTTCTTTAGGCAAGAATAATATTTGAGAAGGCAGTCCAAGTTCCTTATACAGAAGTTGATGATTTAGCTACTGTGTGGTGCGAATGGGCAGAAATGGAAATTCGTCATAAGTTTGTATTTTCTATTAGTTGCAGTTGTCTCTTGAATTTATTTGCATGTATCTCAAAAAACTGTCTTACTAATTAGATATGTGTCAGTTAAACTTAGTAATACAGGAGAAAATGTAGTCTGGTTTAATTATTTTTTCTTTTACTTTCTATATGTTTTATATACTGTATTTTCTTCCCTTACGTGTTTTTTCTTCTAGCTTCATAATGCTAGGTTCTGAAAATAAAAATTAAAATAATAATAATAATAAAAAAAATTACATAATTTTCTCCTTCCTCTGTTATGCATAGTTTTTCCTTCTGTGGGCTACTTTATTGGTAAATTATAGTACCTTAAAAATGGTGTCAGTTGAAAGACTGAGAGAAACTATTACAGATAAGCTTCTTTTGTCAAAAACTTCTTATATATATATATGTCATATTTTGGCAGTCGGGCACACACATAGAGCTTGGCATGAAATGATGACACAGAAAAGGTTAGCTGTTTTGGTTCCACATTTTTATTCAATTCAAATGGTAAATCATTATTCTTTTAGATTCCTCAAGATTACATATGTAATAGTAATTTAGACTAAAATGTGATTAACTTTATTGCATCATACTATTTAAACAAAGAAAACTGATAGGAAGAGTGCCAGCGAAAGGGTTTTACAGCGGCAGGCAGAGAAAAGCAATCTGACGAAACCTGGCGCAAACTCTTCATTTACAGCAGCGATTATGTAACATGCCAGAATGTTCTCGAAAGTACTGGTCTAGAAGATCCTGAAAATTGCGGAAAGTTAATTAGAGGTTGCCTGTTCATATAGAGCAAAGCCATCGTATTTTTTATATATTATGTCTAAAGTAAGATGTGATGGCACACGCCCGAAGCCCCCTAGGTCATACTCCTAACATACCCTCAAAATTTTTATCTTTTTTATTTTATTGTTAGGAGAGTAATCTATGATTAAGAAATTGGCTTGGGTTTTTGCATATTTTTCATACCATCCACTATCCTCTGACCATAGTTTAGCACAGAAGTGCTACCACACACACACAAACACATATTTTTCACATAATTTTAGAAAGCACAAATTGTCTTCTGCATGAATCTGTAGCAAAATTTTCTTTTCTTTCTTCTTGTTGTAGGGTAATATTCATTTCTAGTTTCCAAAATTCTAAAAAAGACAAACTCCATATCTTTATTCACTTAAAATGGCAGATCATTATTCTTTCAGATTCTCCAAACACTACATATTCAATAATGATTTAAATTAAAATAAGGTTAAGGTTAATCTTTCAGTGTCATAACTATTCTAACAAAGGAAGGAAGAAGCGATCAGTGCAAGGTCTTATTGCAGCGATGGCAGGGAGCACTCTCTCGAAAGCTGGCCTAACACTTCATTTATAGCAGCGATTACGTAACATGCCAGAATGTTCTTGAAAGTACTGGTCTAGTGAGAAGATCCTGAAATTGCGGAAAGTTAATTAGAGGTTGCCTGTTCGTGTGGAGGAAAACCATTATATTTTTTGTATTTTACATATATATGTTGCATTAGTTTTATATCCATTTCAGAATAATTTCAAGCAGCTGATCCCATGTGCCCCTTTCTGTACATAACTTTCCATACTATGCTAAATCAGCTTCTTTCAAAATCTGTCAAAAGAGATTTACTGCAAAAGGCAAAAACTCCTGAAAAATTGATAAAATTAAATATTCTACATGAAACTCTTTGTTGTAATTTTGGAGATATAGATGTAGGTATTGCTACTGTGTCGAGTTTAGCTAAAGGTGAAATCTCTGATTTAAATAGAAGAGAATTCAGAGCTCAATGTAGAACCTTTTTGGTTAAACTTACATAAAAATAGTTGAAAGAAGCCTATTTAAGTTTAGCTTGGTCAAATACATTTCTTCATTAGATCCTAAACTCATTACGTTTAATGGATTTTTACATGATAAAAAGATAAAGAATTTACTGCCTATATGAAAGTGAATGGTTAAATTCTAAAGTTGCAGATAAATCAAAAGTGCATTTTAAAGAATTTTTTTTCAGAAGTAACTTGATCTTTTTTGATTAAAAAAAAAATCATTGCGGCGCGCAATGAATTGGAAGTTGATCTGTCAGCACTATCCTTATCTTTCAGGGCAGATGTTTTTATTTTATTTGGCTTATAATTCCTTACTAAATGTAGTATTTCATCTCGATGTACTCCGTCTTTGATATCATTTAAATCAAATTCCTCGTCATTATAATTCGCTTCCGATAGTGAAGAAAGTGACACAGAGGTTATTGAAAACGAAAAAATTTCGATTGACAAATTAGTCGGTATTCACGACACGGCAATTATAGGACTTGAACAGCGGAACTTTGTAACTGAGCAAAAAATTATGTCTGTTTATAGAATTAAAGAGAAATTATTATCACATAAAACAAAGCAACTTAAACAACTTACATTGAAAGAAATGTTTAACTTTTTGAAGCCGGCTGGTACAGCAGTTGTACCAGGAGAATGACTTTCTGTATTAGGCTGGCATTGGTACAACTGTCGTACCATGCATGCCCTCCCCATTTTAGAAAATCGCCTATCTGTAGATCTCTGGGTGGTCCATTGTCGCTGCTCAGAGTAGCCGCTGGCTACGCATTATTTCCCTCTTCTTATCAGTTTGGCTGCATTTTGGCAAAAACCACAGGTTTTGTCTCGCGCCAATATACTTGAAAATGAAATAGAGGCCATCTCTTTCTCAATCTGTCTCATAATTTTAATGCTAATTTTTTTATTACTGACTTTTGCTATGATTAAAACGTCAGCGATTTTGCACGCTCTTTAAGCTTACCATATTTAATGTTTTTTAACAAATAAGAATAGATTAATATTTTAGATTTAATGCCCTTCTAAAAAATAGGTAAAACCACTTTTATCGTTTACTTCCTTTTTTATACTTATGAATAATAAGATTTTATTTTGACATTTTTTTGTGGATTACATAAAACCCTTAAGAACTGTTAACTCTTTCAAAGTGCTTCTATTATGTAGGCAATTTTGTCTGATTTATCAGGAGATAAATAAGAGACAATTGTATGCATAATAGTTTTTGTGATTTTCATTCATTCAGTGATTGCTTTCAATGTTTTTCATTGATTGTAAATTAAATAAAATCAATTTATCTTTAGACCCTCTTTTAGGATGAGATCTGCCAAAAAGTATTTGAATATCAGTAAAGCTCACGTTGCTTCTAAATTGAATCAAAACATCAGTTACATTGTATAAAATTTTGGCCAGTTTTATTTGCTGAAATTCTTATACTCCTCAGAGATAAGGGAATTCAGACAAGTTAATAAAAATATATCTTTAAAAAAGGTTGTTATTTTGTCTGTAAAAAGGTGTATGTCAACTTACTATTAAATGTATGAAAATTAGGATTGGATTACGGAAAAGCACGCGAACGCTATCTGCTTAAGGGTATGGATGCTTTCGTGTAAACCTTTTTAAGAGAAAATTGCTCGCATTTACGTTCCTGGTGGAAAACTCCACATGTAATCAACCCGTTCTTGGGGTTTGATTGGATTAATTTTGTTCGCTTACTGAATTACATCAAAGCACACAACAATTACTTGTATAAGGGGAGTTATGCCTTCGCGGAGGACTTTCTAAGAGAAGCTGGCTTGCATTTACGTTACACAAAAACCGTGAATCCAACTATTTAGCAGGATTCAAACCCAAGCGAGCTACAGGTGTTCAGCCACCTTTACCACTCTACTGAAGAGCCCGTAAAAATATTGATAAAGGAAAAGTATTGAAAAAAGCAGTTTAATTTACTAACCTATATTTCTCAATCGAAAGTACATAAATTACGCATATGAGGGGAATTATTTGTGAATAAATAAACTGTATTGCACTTTTCTCCACTGTTTCATATTAAGATGGAATTATTGCATTTCAAAGTTATTTCTCATGAATTAATTTGCTCCGTTCATGATTTTTAATATTTTCGAAGAGAAAATTCCACACTTTAAATAAAAAAATACACGAGAAGATATTTTATACAAAATTTGACGTAAACGGTTTTCTTAATTTTGCTTTGAAAATATTCCAGGTTAATCGTTTTCATTACTGGAAGAAATATGAAAAACAGATTTACTACATTGTGTCAACACCCAGTATGTCCTTATTCTTTTGAAAACACGAAAGATTACTCTTTCTAAAATAAATTAGAAAATATATTATGTGCAAATAGAATATTCGTTGAAAATGAAATAGACTTCAACCTTTGGATATAACGATAGTTTTAGACGAAATTTCTACCCATGAAAAGAAATTGACATATAATTAATTCTTCATGAACATTTAAAACTGTTCTCAAAATTCTTTTGATGATTGCATGTATAGGTCACAGATTTTTTTCTCTGCTAACATAAACAAAAGCCAATTTTACAAAGAAAAATTCTCTTTAAAGATATACCTTCTTTGCCTGATAGTCCAATGTAATATTTGTTAAAGTTAAATGGTTAAAACGCAACCAATGTATCTCTCGGATTTTGATTTTTATATTATAATAACAAAATTATCGAAAAAAGCAGAGATTTAAATCTCTGTTATTGTTATGTAAAGCTTTATTATTGCTGTAAGTTCATCTCAAAATCTAATTGTATTGAATCTTCATTCTAATCATCTAATGGTAATAAATATTATTATTATTATTTCATTAAATTAGTCATTACCATTATTTTATTAATGAAAAATATGTTATTTAAAAATCACATTCCAGCCTGCAGACTTACAAATCTAGTCCGTATTTACTATATTTTGTTAAATTTTGTTCTCGCTTTCTAATTTCTAATACGAAAATACGCAATATAAATGAAGAGTGAAAACAAAGTTAAAAATTCACAAATTATTTACGAGATTGATTAGAAATAGTGAGTGAAATATAAAACATTGCATACATTTTGTTCTAAATAAATTGTGCACTGGATATGCATCCAGTACTGCATATTTATTTATGCACTCTTTATTTAGAACTTCATTTAAATGAAAGCAAAAAAATCATCGAAAAAATTGCAAATCTAGCAACCCCTCTACTATGGGACGTAAGCGTCCGACAAGCATGTAAATTTTACTTCATCCATGGAAGGGGTCTAACGACTTTTCTCATTAGGAAAATGTCAAAGAGTGGGCAAAACTGTTTCGGATCGCGCCGGTTTGAAGGCTATATTATGAGAATTTCGGCCCGGTTTTAGAAGCTTAATAAAGTAAACAAATAAATATTAAGCTTTTTTTTTTTTTGTAAATTTTGATACCCTTTAGATCATAACTGTTCTTTATTTCATAAATTACAGTTTCATATTTTTAATTTTATAATTTCTGCATGCTATCTTACCAGATTTAAACTGATGATCTATAATCCGGAAAAATCGATAATCCATAATCGCCGAAGTCCCGACGAGTCCGGATGAACGACTTTTGACTGTAATGCTTTTTAAAACAGTAAAGCTGTCATTCATGATATAATTTTATCAAAATTAATGGTGGAAAAAATACAATTATGTTTGTGCGTAGTACTGAAAAATAAATGAATTTCATTTCTAAATTTTTTTTATAACTTAGATGAAATGAATTGCAATTATTTAATTTCTTTTGTAAAACTGCAAATATTTCAGCTGCATTAACAATAATTTCTAGTATTGTATACTCTTTTCCTGTAATTAAAAAGGATATTTATTTGAACTTAACTAATTTTGTGGTACAGCTGATTACTGAACACAGTATTGGATTAGTATGTAAATATTGTATAGCAAATTTTCTTAGTGTGGCAAATTTTCCTGAGGAGAAATTACTGAAGAATTAATGTAATAATAAAACTATAATAGAAGTTGTTCTCCCCAGTAATGAAAATTACTGAGGAGAATAACTTCTATTATACTTTTAATGGTAATGCTTTGGAGATTCAAAAGTACTTTTTTTTTTTTTTTTTTTTTATCATTATTAGCAAATTTGGAACTACTCTTATATGCCCCCTCAGGTTGCCAAATTTCTCGCTAAACATTTTTGGCGAGAAACTACTTGGTGCCATATTACTATCTAAATTTTTTTGTCTACATTTCAAACTTTAAGCCTAAAATGTCTCCAAAGACGGGGTTTTCGCACATGCAAAAGCCGCGTTTTGAGCACACAATTTAAGCTAAAAACCCCGAAACAAAACAAAAAATTTAGCTAGCAAAAACTTAAAGTTTCTAACCAAAAATATTTGACAAGAATCCATGTACACAGTGATATATTTTAACTTTAAAAAAAAAAAAAAAAAAAAAAAAAATCTACGAATTGCACAATATAGGCAGCAAAGGAATCGAAGAACTACGCACACCTCTCTTTAATAAGTTAACAACAATAAAATTTCAAAGAATACCATGTACACAGCATTCTGTTTAAACTTTAAAAAAAATATCTACGAATTGCACAATCTCGGCAGTGTGCACAAATAAACAAAATAAATTACAATTAATTCAAAAAACAACAACAGAAATTCATAGTAAAAAAACAATGAACATAACATTCTACAAAATAAAAATAATAAAATAAAATGCACTTACCGTAATAGATGTTTCTTCGGACAGCAGAACGGAGCTTTAACATGCCATGTACTCTCTATGGTATTTATATGACAGCCAGACTCGCTATCCACAAAATTCGTACTATGGTTCACAAAATAAATATTCAAAACCTTCTTTTCCTAAATCCTTGTAAGATTTCCAGCCATTCAAAAAAATAGTTGTACAAGGCTCAATCCACTCTTTAATACACTGCATTAATGTTTCCTTACTTCTATCATGCACAACCGCTAAAAATAATCTCCCAGACACTCTTGCAACCATGTCTCTCATTGCAATATAGGCCATTTCAAAACACGCACGACATGAACCATCGAGCAATTAAATCACTCCAGCAAAAGAGTTGCCATACAACATGATATTGTGCCAAAAACCAGCGCAGAACACATATTGCCACATTTGGTGATCTTAGGGCGCATATAAAAGTAGAGCCACAAATTTTTGTGTTTGCTAGTTCAGATTTTCCTATTAGCCATGTAGTTAGTCTAGCCGTAAACACCTGGAAAAGTCGGGGAATTTCATTCTCCTGTTTGAGTGGCAACCCTGCCATGATATTGATGGAAAAAGGAAGTGCCTATTAAGAAAAAATTGGCAGATCAAAATTTCACTTTCAACTGCATATAATTTTTCATTTTCACTTATTTATGTTGATATTGTTTTTATTTATTAATTTCAACTCTTTTTGCATTTTTCAGCAATCTTGAAAGGGCACTGAAACTTGTGCAAAGGGCTACTGCTCTTCCTGTAAGCAAAGGATCCTATCATGATCAGGTATTTATCCGTAAAAGATGCTTATATAAGCATGTGCTGCTTTTAATAACTAATACTTTTTGTGTAGGCTTCTAAAGTTATATGATGTTGACTGATTTAAAAAAAGAAATTTAAACTTCTAAATTTTATGAAATCAAGAATTAGGGTTTAAATAAGTAAAGAAGTGCTACTTATTTACTGAATGAATATTGAAGGTAGTTGAGTTTCTTGCGGAATAGTACCTATGCATCCAAGTAGGCATGTTAGGTTAGCATGGCTGTACCTAACATGGTCATGCCTGACATGGCTATACTTAACATTGGCAGTTAGTACTGCTAATCCTCCATAATGAAAGAAATTCTGAGGGAGAGCATCAAAGGATGCGATCCAAGGGTCTACCGCCCTTCTTTACTGCTATGACCTCAAGAGGATTTCAGATTTCTATGTATTTTGAATTTCCCTTTGCTGCATACACAATATACTTACAGACATCCAAGCCTTCTCTGAGATTCAAACTGAAGCCCATTGATATGGCTCTCAGCATTACTAACAACTATATCACTTGGGTTGCACTTTACCAGTAGGACCAGAGCATGTGCAATTGGTGCAGTTGCACTGTGCATCAAAATTTAAGAGTGACAGAAGTTTTAGGAAGAAATCAGGCTGAAGAATTTTGGTTAGCAGAGTTTGCATCAAGCGGCAAAAATCTAGCACTATCTCTGCTTGAATAAACAGGTTATCAGTCTGTAGGGAATCTTATGTTAATTAACCAGTTATTATGATTTCATCCTTTTTGAAGTTTTTGGACTATGAAACAGAGTATGTTTAAATCCAACTCTCCTTAGAGTTGTTGAGCAAAATTCTATCATAGATTAATTGTATAATCTTTGACTACTTCTTAACATTTATTAAATTTAACTGTTCTCTTTATATGCATCACCACAAGTTATGGTAGTGCAAGAGTGTGTACTTAAATTCCTCACTTTGTTTAAATGAAAAGGTTATTTCAAGTCTTTTTTTTTTTTTTTTTGTTCTCAGACATAGCAATAACTCATTCATGTCTGTTAAGCTTATAGGAAGTAGCATTTCTAAACCAAATAAAACACAATAAGTCTTAATTATTGAATATTTGACTTTCCATGTATCCATATTTGGGTAAAAATATATTTCAGGGTGCCCTTTGGTGAAAATTGGCAATTTTTGTCGATTGGCCAGCAAGGCGCAATTTCAAGATTGCCGCTACACAAAAACGAAATAGCAAGTCAAAGAATTGCACAAACTCAGTATCCATGTACACATCGATCTATTTTCAATTAAAAAAAATCAGAGAATTGCACAAACTTGGCATTGCACATTCCCTTGACTTTGTCCATGTACACATCGATCTATTTTCACTTAAAAATGCTAGGAGAATTATGACGTCATATAATGTTAAAACAAAGTTACTCATCACCAAAATTGAACAAAATTTGTAGCTAATCGAAGCTCAATAAACTGCATTTTAAATCACACAATTAAATAACATAAAAAAGGAAATACATGTTATCATATATACGCACTACAAAAGGAAAATATCGACTTACCATATTTTGAAATTTCTGTCTTTTCAGTCTGTGGCACACAAAATTTCTTCACAGCATCGAAAAACTTTCTGAAATTATCTGAACTAGAATATGCATACTGCCGTCATCACATAAATTCACAAAAATAATAGTAAAAAATATCATCTGTAGTGCTGGACTGTCTGTGTCCTTTCTTGCGACAAAGCCATCTGAACAATCTTTACATTCTACCTTGTATTTCCTTCATACAAACAGGACGCTTATAATGACTATTAAGTAAACCTTCATCTGCACACCAGTCAATTAATGCGTTTCTCCCTTTTGTTCCAAATCGTACAGAAACATCACATTGATCTCATCACATACAGCCATTTTATGGTGTACAGCACAAATTAACCAACGTACTTCCTAACTGACATCCAACGCAGAAATAAGCCCTTACAAATATTTTTGCATTAATGAAATTCACTGCAATCATGGCATAATAGGGTTTCCATACCATTTAACTACTCAGGTTACCAGAAATGAAACAACAATTTGGCAATAAATGAAACAGCAATAATCCAAGGGGCACTCTAAAATATAGACTAACCCCATATTTGAATGCATATGATACAGTATTTAGAATATAGTACTGATGATATATTGAATGTTCACACTAAAAATTTAGTTTTAAGGTGAATTTTTTGTTATGTAACCTTTTGCAGAATTGAAATATCTTAGCATATGATTACAATTAGGTGGCTGTGTGATGTTGCAAGAAGTAAGTGCACTGTATGCATTGCAACTGTACAACCAATATTGTGTAAAATAAGTGCCACAGTTAAAATGGAAACATTATAATTGTTTAACCATAAAGTCTAACTAGTCTAACCAGAATTGCTGTTATGATGCTTTAAAGATTATATATATGGTTGGATGTGTGTGAAGGAAGCCTCATCATTGGGATACATGATAGAGAGTCATCGCAAACAATCATCTGCCATTTGGGCTTATTGATGTTGATGGCAGCAGTGATTACGTGTGTTTTCTCACTAAGACAGGAAAACTATGAATGGTCAAGGAACATAGCTGTTAGCCAAGAGTGATTTATAGCAGTGGCATGCCGTGAGTGGACTAGAGAAACTAGGCTAGTCCGCTAATATTTTATTCACTAACATTTTCATGTTTATTTTTACCTAACATTCAAAAGCATTAAAAGAACATCAACAACATTTAACACTGCATGCTGTTTGAATTTAGTGGGTTTTCATAAGAATGGAAGAAGCTTGGGTCTGATTGGTTCTTTGCAAGAAAAAACTAGCTTTTTATCACCTGTTCCTGTAATTACCTTTTAGATATGCTATTAATTAATGATTGTGATAATAAAAAGTTTTTATTATCTCGTGATAAATAAAATTAATGTAATTTTTAGTGCTGTATTTCAGTTCATCTTGAAGAAAGTGTTCTTATGGTGTATGAAGTAATACAAAGTAAAATGTATCGATGCAATAATTCCAAGCTTAAACTATGGAGAGGGAAGTGGTCCAAAAAGCTAATCCTTGTACAGGAAACCATTGTGTAGAGTAAAGTAATCTCTGATGCCTTTTTGTGACAGTGCATTCATTAGCTATCAGTGTCTCAACAGTATTATCTTGATCACTTGTCTGTGTTGTTTTCAAATGACACAAAAGTAATTGACAAAAATTAGATCATATAATTTCATAAATGATATGAAAAATCAAAAGAAATCTGTTTGGTTGGCATGGTGCTCTTTTTTGAGATCAAATGTTTTAAAATAATTATTTAATTTTTATGACATCCATTAGGTTAAATTTTTTTTTTTTTTTTTTTTTTTTTTTATGGTAAGGTCATTTTGGCTTCCTCTCTTTATCCAGTTTTCATAGTTCACCATAGTATTTTAACCATTATTTATTCAGTAGTCTTCACATTTGAAATACAGTAAACTCTATTATAATGACCACCTTCTTTAGATGATCGCTTCTGAAAGTGACTAGTATTTCTTTCTGTAAATATAATTAAACACTAATACTGTATTCACCTCTAATAAAATGACCATCATTACTGTTCATGCACTGTTGTCTTAGACAGGTTTATAATTTTTCTTTATACCTGGTCTTCTTTGATAAAAACCATAGTATGCTGCTAATTTATAGTGTAACAGGCCTTCATTATTTTTATAATAATACCATTGTCTATCAGTGCACCTGTAGTTTTTTTTTTTTTTTTTTTTTCATAATTTGACAAATGCAAGATTCTGCTTGTATTCTGTGTGATATATCCCATTAAGTATTGTTCACTAATGACACCACCTAGATTGGTGCTGTGTTCAGTCCTCATGGATGAGTATGAAATGGAATTTTCTTCTTTAATGAATCCTGCTTCAAACCTGGATATTGATGGCCGTCACATCTGGGTATGGGATGATCAGGATATTAGACTTTATTTTCAATTGGCACACTGGCATTATTTCTGCTGTGTAGAAATAATTTCTGGCTGAAACGCAGTAGAAACAGTGCACACTGGCATTGTTTCTGTTGTGCTAATGGATAGGAGTACCATCTATACAACTGAAGGCCTTTCTTTATTATTACTTATATTACTTTAGCAGCCAATGTTATATCGGTGGGAATCTGCAACTAGTGCTATTGTAATTTATAACACTGCTTCTAGGTACCACTTTTTAACAAGATAGTCCTGATGGCATATGGCATGAATTTTTTTCCTTTGCAAAACCTTGGCCATCAAGACCTTAGATCTTTTGCCATTCAATATAGTGGGCCATCAGTTCTATCTCATGCAGAGTATATGATAACTAAAGCAACAGTTGCAAAAGAGCTTTTTATGTAGTGATGCTGAGCCATTTAATGACAAAAATCAAGGTGAAAAATGTATGAACTTGTGAAAAATGTATGATCGAAATATAAAATATATCTGACATACTGATTTCTACCTTTTCTATTTGTGCTGTTCAGTGATAAATAATCTGGGAATATTTGCAGTGTAATTATTTCTTCAGCTGTATATTATACATCGTTCATTTTGTAAGAAACAGATACTTCTGTCGTGATGTTTCCTTTCCTCCCCCCCAAGAATATGTAAATGTATAAAAATTTTTTCAAAGTTTTGATTTACTGAATTGTGAACATGATACAGATGAGTTAAAAAGGTTATTCATTACCCTTATATTTTTTTAATCATAACTGGCTTGATGTTCTTCTGGCCTTATTAGATAGAAAGTTTATCATAACAAAATGTGAGAAATGCTTTTACCCGACTAAAGGTCGAGAAACAAAACCACAAATCTTATCATTTAATATTAATTCTTGTATTTAAGAAAAAGCACAGCTGGATTATTTTCTAACTAAGAATTTATAATTTTAGCTGATGTCTTTGTATAATTGTTTATCTACTTGTATGCATTTAGCTTACTATGCATATTTTTAGTCTTTGCCAGTTCAAGAAAGGCTCTATAAGTCATTGAAAGTCTGGTTGTTATATGCTGATTTGGAAGAAGTGTTAGGAACTTTTAAGGTAAGTCTAGTAATAATTATTGCTTAATATTTATCTTTTTTTATCTTGATAGCTGAAACATACACTTCAAACATTTTATAAGAATTGTTTATATATAATTTATTCTACCGTTTCTATAATCTGTAAGGTTTTATGCTTCATATTATGTGCTGTTAATTTGATGATTCCAGCATACACTTCAGAATTTATTATCAGACTGATAAATTAGTATGTCTACTTTTCTGTGCATGTTTAATTAGAAATTTGTTTTTCTAAAGATGTTACTGCCCAAATTTTTAGGTCTAATCTTGTGTCACTTGTTTTCAATGTGAGAAATATATTGCTAATTTTTTTAAATATATGTTATTCTAATTTACTGAATGCAAAAGTGCTTATTGTATCATCAGTTCTGTCTTTTTATTAATTTCTACTCACAGTAAAATTCGCATATGAAAATTTTTATGACATTTTGAAATTTCGATTTCATTCAAAGTAATGGATTTTTATAATGTATTTTCATACTTAAATACTCTTGACTTTGACAATATTTAAGAAATAACATACATAGATATTTATTATTATGAGGCTCAGCAAAAATTTAAGGTGTAAATATTGAAATTGAAATTATAAAAAAGAAATATTAATTACTAATTGAAAATTATAAAAAAGGAAAACTTTCCAATTAAAAAAGCTTAACTTATTCTAAGAGAAAAGTAAAATATTATATATGTATTGTTTGTATATCTACAGAAGCTCATTAGTATAGTGTTCCCCCCCCTCCAGTTTTATCAAATTTTGTCACATTTGAAGGAATATATTGTGAATCGAAGTTTCTAATGTATTTCAAGCATAAAAGTTCTTTTTGATAATAAAATAAAATTGTTGCATATATTAATAATGCCACATTGTATTTGTGAAAATTTTGAAATTTACTGCGATCAGTCCCTTTATATACACTGGTTATCATAAATTAAGGAAAAATCACAAAAATCACGATTACTGAAAAAATTACATGTAGAATTTAATGAAACTTACTCACAATATACAACACATAGTAAGGTATCAAATAACATAAAAAGAAATTACCAGACAAATATGGTAGTACAGAAATTAGCACATGTATAAAATGAACAAATCGAAAGTGTCAGTTTGCTATAGGAAAAGTACCTTCAATATGGAATATGATCGCCTCTAGAAGCAATACAGCACATACAGCGATGTGTGATGCTTTCTATTATGCGGTCTATTAGTTGCGTAGGAAGCAAGAGCCATTGCTCTTGCAAAGCAGTTGAAAGCACGACAAGGGTTTGAAAGGGCGAATTGAGAGCAGCTAGACGTCTCCCTAAAGCATCCCAAACGTGCTCGATAGGATTCAAGTCCGGGGATCAAGCTGGCCACTCTATGCGCATAATTGTTTCTTGTTGAAGATAATCACGAGCCCTGTGTGGCCTTGTGTTATCGTCCTGTAACAGGAAAGTATCACCTATTGCCCTGGCACATGGGATAAATATCAAGGATGTCACATAAACGTCAAGGATGTCATCTCTATAAATCTGAGAATTCACAGTTCCCCTTGGAAAGACATGGAGGTCTGTGCGTCCACCCAAAGAGATGCCACAGCCAACACAGACACTGCCCCTTCCGTATGCATATCTTTCACAGATGTTTGACGGATGATAATGAGTTCTAGGTTCTCTCCATATCAAATAACGCCTACTATCACTTTCTAGACTAAACCTAGACTCATCTGTAAAGAGAACTGCCCTCCATTGATCAGGCGTCCAGTGGACATTTTGTCGTGCCTACTGAAAACGGTCCCTCCTATGGCGTGACGTGAGCGGCACACAAATGGCTGGTCGCCTCGCATGCAGACCACCTTCGTGGAGCCTTCTACGCACAGTTGACGTTGACGCGAACCTTCCTGTGGCTGCAGCAGGGGGGGGGGTCTAAGAAGAGTCAGAATAGCGGTTCTATTCTTGCGTGCACATATAGTCAAATACTGGTCATCGGCGGTCGTCGTAGCAGTTGGCCATCCTTGTCTGAACCTCCTAGATGCCGAATCTGTGGTTTGAAATTGCCTCCAAAGTCTGTGAACTGCAGAAGGACTCGCATTTAGCCATCTGGCCACTTCTGTTTGACTTTATCCTGCCTCTAGTCTTCCAATGGCTCTCCATCCATAGTTCTGCAGGCAAATGATGCCTGGAGGTCACTGTTACGAATTGGCTATTTCAGATTTCTGATGTCACTATCACAGTGAAATATGCGGGCTTGGTCTCAAAACATGGACTTTTATTCCCCTCGCAGATGACGTATTCCGAGTGCAGCGCCACTAATTTGCATATTGCAGTTTTATTCAGCTACTCTTACTTGGCAACATATTCAAATTTTACACGGTTTGGCTTATTTTTGAGGGAGTTATTGCTATTTTTGTGATTTTTGCTTAATTTATGATAACCAGTGTATAATAATATATATATCTTCTAAGTGGTCTATTTTTGAAGAATGTTGGAATTGCTAATGTTTATTTCATAACTAAAGTTTCATTTTAGTCCATTCATTTGATCATGAATAATTTTCCATCCATTAAATATGAAAAATATCTTTAGTAAGTAGAATTTGAAGTTTTCTATGTAACAGGAAGATAATTTAAAATAAGTTGCAAGTTTATATATTATATAGCATGGGAAGAAACAGCAAAATTAAAATATATGAATGCGTGCATTAAACACAAAGCATTGTCTATTGTAATGCTTGCAACTTTAATAATACCTTATTCAAATGCAAATTGGTAAAGAAGTTTTTCTAATATTTAGTAGAATCAGGCTGCATTTTTACCAAATTTGGGTATGAAGATACTTAAAACAATTCTCATTGAAAACATAATCATGCAGGCTAATGAAGCACTGCATTATGCAAAATGTTTTCTGGCTTGAAACTTACTTTTTAAGCATGCTGCTTATAAATCTTTATATTTGCAATTTATATATAAATCATAAATATTTTTGCTTCAGTGATTGTATGCATATTTCTTGACTTAATCTAGAATTTAATATATATTTACAGTGGATGGACAAAAATATGGAAACAACTTGTGAAATGCATGTTTGAAAAGAAAGATTGATTTTAATGAAATATGTAGGTGGCACTGGCGTTTTTGACTACTGACGCCACCTATACAACTTCGTAAATGTGCTAAACAGTTCAGTTGTTTGTCGGAGTACTGTTATGTGAAGTTGTCATTGCATTATGTCACAGTTAACAGACTTCGAACGTGGGCAAATTATTAGAGCACGTATGGTAGGTGCTTCCGTAAGCAAGGTAGCCGAGGTGTTTAGCGTTTCAAGAGGTACTGTATCGAAGATTTATTCTGCATATTTGAAACGCGGAAAAACATCATGTGCTAAATCACAGCGCGGACGAAAGTGTGTCCTGAGTGATCTTGACAGACGATCATTAAAGGCAATTGTGACGAAAAATAAGAAGACCACAGCTGCAAAAGTTACTGCTGAAATGAATATTGTGTTACCGAACCCTGTGAGTACCAAAACAATTAGAAGGGAGCTTCATAAACAGGGAATTGCTGGCCGTGCTGCGATTGAGAAGCCACTCATCAGTGATGCTAATGCCCGTAACAGGAAAAGGTGATGTTTAAGTCATAAAGCCTGGACTATAGAGCAGTGGAAGCAAGTAATATGGTCTGACGAGTCTTCTTTCACATTGTTTCCCACTTCTGGCCGAGTTTACGTCTGGAGAACGCCATCTCAAGCCTATAATACAGACTGCTTGTTGCCAAGAGTGAAACATGGCGGGGGTTCTGTTATGGTTTGGGCAGCCATATCGTGGTTCTCTGCTAGCCCCATGATAACTGTGTCAGGGCACATGACTGCCAAGACTTATGTGAACATTTTGGCCGATCAATTCATCCCATGGTACAAACTTTGTTCCCCGATGGTGATGGTGTCTTTCAAGACGACAAAGCCCCTGTTCACACAGCTCACATTGTCCAGGACTGGTTTTCTGAGCACGAGGATGAAGTTGTCCCATCTCCCCTGCCACCACAGTCACCAACCTGAATATTATCGAACCTTTGTGGTCTACATTGGAACGGAAAGTGCGTTCTCGTTATCCACCGCGAACATCGTTATCTGAACTTGCCACCGTTTTACAGGAAGAATGGTATAATATTCCCTTGGCAAACATACAGGAACTGTATTTATCCCTTCCGAGAAGACTGCAAGCTGTTTTGGATGCCAACAGGTTTTCTACACCATATTAATCAAAGAAACATGTTTTTTAAAGGTGTTTCCATATTTTTGTCCAACCCCTGTATATATATATTTTAATTTTATTCTAAATCAGAATTTAAAATCTCATACAGATATAGTTTATAGATTTACGTAAATTACTCCTCTTCCCCCTCAAAAAATACATTTTGTATATGTTTATGAAACTTACTTGTAAAATCTTAGAATAACAATCATTATATATTGTGTTTAGTTATTAATGTTCTTAAATAATGATGGTCCAGTATTACATCAAAGAAAGGCACGTTCTAAAATGTATTTACGAATCTCTTGTAGAATCTTCACTGAAATAGCTGTCAGTTATCTTGTTATAAAAGATTCAGTAACTTAAACAGAATGTAAAGTTTCAGAATTATATGATTTTCTGCAATGGATATTTAGACTTCCTTAAAGTAGTAATCTATGAGAGGTTAATTAATATGTATTCTGTATTCAAACAAATACTGTTATAAAAATTGGGTTAAAAATTATGGGTAGTTTAATTATTTGAAGTAATGCATAATGACTAACTTTAGAAAATGCTTATAGAATGAATGTTTTCTTGTATTACGTACAATTTTACTTTTTGCTTGTAGCCTAATGCCTTCTTAATTTTTACTTGCAGTCTATTAAAGCTGTATATGATCGGATAATTGATTTAAGAATTGCCACACCACAAGTAATTATCAATTATGGATTATTTCTGGAGGAGAATAAATATTTTGAAGAAGCTTTTAAAGTGAGATTTTCAATTTTTAGCATTTTCCCCTCTTTGCTGTCTTGTTACATAGGAATTTAAGCATGAAATAAGTATTTTTAATTATAAAAGTTCATATTAGTACCATTATGTTCTCTAGTCAGCATTTTACAATTTCAGTTACGTTCGGTTTCAGTTATACTACAATCTCTTCAAAATTTTAAAAATTTGAAGGAAAAAAAGGAGAGCATAACTATAAAATGTATCAAATAAAATGAGACTGAGCCATAATGAGGTGAAGTACAAATATGCATGGAAATAATGCAACAATACAATATGTTACACTATTTCTAGGTATATTTGTATTTCATTTTATTGCCTGAAGTGATTTTCATTGCTTAAAGAGTGGTTTCATAGAAAAACATAATTTCATTGCTTTTTCAACATGTGGCACTCTACATTGAACTATAACAATAATTTTTTCACATTGTATATTCACTTGAGATTACTCAGCAATATCAAAATCTGTCATGTTTATGCATTACAATATAGTTAGATACAGTACAATGCAAATATGTATAGTAAAACTGCAGCAACTTTATTATTATTTTATTTAATAATGTTGGCTAATTACATATAGTAATTGTATGTAGTTACATTTATTACATAAGTAAGATAATTTCTTTATGTGTGCAGTATAGTATTACAGAACAGTACCTGCAATAAAATTATCGTATACATATATATATTAACCTTTTCGTGACGGCGCGCCTTTGTTTAAGACGCTTGTGCGGAACGGAAGAGAATCGAAGGCAATCACCGTACAGGATGGAGGTTCTGCATCGCTAAGCCTAATTTTATAACAAAAGTCAGAAAAACAAAAGTTTCGCTTCTAGCATCGTAATTTTTGGTATCATTTTAGATTATTACTTGATCTCTTATATATGTTAAAATTAGCGCTTAAAACATTTTTTTCTTTATTTTACATGAAATATACTTAAAAAATTGCTTATCTTCTAAAATAATTTTCGGAAGCGCTATTCAAATTATTCCAAAGTTTTAATTGATAAAATCCATCAATAAAGTTTAAAATTAATAAAAAGAACACAACAAAGATTATTTACAATAAGAAGTAACAAAATTTAAAATGAAAAGGAGTGTGGTAAATCTCGAAGCACAGAGAAGTATCACTTTGTAACTCTTAGAAAAAGTACCACTTTTTAACTCTTTAGAAAATGAATCAGTACTCTCATTTGTGTTAGTTAAATGGTTCACTAACCATACTGGGGTATTCTTCCTCTGATAAATAGCACCTTCCCGTCATAATAGACTGGAGGTGAGGCTTTCGTAAATAAAAAAAGAAGGAACGGAAATATATCTGAAGGCAATGCAAAACGTAAAAAAAAATCCGTACAGTAATCCTAAAAGACCATACATAGTAGAGCAAAAAGTAGAATAAAAAAAGGAATTGGATGTAAATCAGATACGAGAATGTTTTCATTAGCACGCAGCGATTTAAAGAGCCCACCTCTGTTTACGCTTTCCCTCCGCCCCCCCAACCTCGAACAGCTGATGAGTAAAATACCAAAGTGAAGCAGAATATATCAAACTCAAGGTCAGGAACCTAAAACTGTGTTCATTTCAAAAGTAATGGACACAGGATTCCATCTAGTGGCCTTTAGAAAAACATTCCACCTTAAAATGCGTATACGCATCACCCGTCCTCTGAATGCGATCTTTACTGATGCCTGGATGGGACGTCCGGCTGTAAGAGACGTTCTTAGGAAATGCGTATATGGGACGCCCGTCCTGAAAGTGTTAATATATATAATATGCACAGTGAGATAATTAGTATTACATGCTATATTGTGGAAAAGTAGTGGCACCTAGAGCCACCAACCTTTCATTACACAGTCTTCTCTGCCTAAACATGTGCACTTCAATACTCAAATTTTTAATTTTGGAATTATTTTATTTTATATTTTGTACAAATTTAATGAATATTTTATTAACACATTTATTATCTGTACATAAACATTGTCTGTTGCAAAGAAATAAAGTCATTATTCCATCTTCTTTTCACCCTGGTGATCTGAATTAATTGCTAAATTAAGTTATCCAGGTATAGAGCATATGAAAGCACTTGGATATCCCTATGTATGGTGGCCATATTTATGATATACTTTAGCATATTATTTCTAAAATATAAATAGATTACAATACCATATCATTTAAATTACAGTCTGTCTGAAAACTGAATGTTGTAGACCGAAGAATTTAAAATCAATATTATTAGAAAAGTGCAATAATTATACATTGAAAAATGAAATATTTGACATCATTTCATTAAATCTTTTTTTTTTTCCCTAAGTTTATTTAGTTTAATAATTTGTTAAGTAGTAAACCAAATTGTTCTATGCTTGGTGATTTATCTTTTATACTGAAATGAAAGAGGAGCTTATGAAACTGAATTATTAAATTAGTAACTCGCATATATAAAATGAGTTAAATTTTATTTTAAAGTTTTGTTGCTGCTTGCAACAACTAACACAGCTGACAAATACGGTGCTGTAGCTCAGTGGCTAATTTCATTATGTTCACACTTAATGAGACTGCTAAATTAATATTGTTACGAAATGTCCAGTCGTGGTCAGAAAGCTTCCCCGCAAAGCAGGTTTAGGGTTGCCATAAAAAGGCAAAGGAAGGCAGGGTTGCCACATTTGGCGAGAAATCACCCATTTGACGATATGACCACCTTCTGGAATGAATTCTTACTGGTTTAGCCCAGAATGTTCTTGAACACAAGCCAAACTATATAAACCCTGTTGGTACTTGGAGAGTCAGGGTGCAAGATAGTCGGTTAGCTAGTGCCGCGTGGGTCGTGGAGTGCACTGAAAGAGTCTCATAGTGTATCTCGGTTAGTGCATTGTGGAGAGAGCGTGTTGAGCTCCGGGAATGACTGAACCGAAGAGTCGGGAGCTGTGCTCTGTGTGTTGTCGAGTACAAGCAGAGTCGGGAGCTATACTCTGGTGCTTTGCAGTGAAGCTGTCTTCTCCATTATTGTCTGACAGTGTGAAGGCTGTGTTGCTAATTGTTCCAGTGTGTTTATAGTAGATCTTCGACGACTGTCCTGATTAATATTGGTAAATAAAGTGTGTTTCGATATTCCATCAAGTGCTGTCGTCGTTGTTCACTCCAAATCTACACGAACCCCGTACGAATGTGAAGGAAGAAAATAACATAACAACTGGTGTCAGAAATAAACGTAACAATATTTCACCTAAATGTGTTATTTAAACCTGGTAATATTAAAGAAAATGATAGAATAATTAGATACAGCTGTGAACTTTGGCTGCTTACCAAATCAACTGATGTACAGATGCATAGAGGGCATGAAAACTTTACAGTACACTCAAATTTCATTAGTTTCTGCTATAATTTTGTATCTTAAGGCCTACTTTTTTATATTTAAATACTGATTAAATGTGTGTAATTTCTAGATACATTTGAGTTGGAAAGAAAGGGTCTTTTTATCAAAAAAAGGTGTAAGTAATCTAGTTAATTACACTAAAAATTGTGCAAACTAATGCTTATTTTGTTGAAAATCTGTGTCTGAATTTTTGCATTCAGGAACTTTAAATGCAGATCAGTGTTGACAAATGTAGTAAATGCTAATAAAAGTAACTCGTACCTGTTTTTAGCACTGAGTGAATGATGCTTATAATTATTTTTAAGTAGATAGTATTGTCATTTTTATGCAGCAATTTAAAAAATGTTTAATATTGTTATATCAAAATACATCTATGCATCTTGCAATTATATATATATCCATATTTCACAATAGTATCCAAAATTAAAATTAACTTTAATTTTGGATAGTATTGTGAAATATTAATATTAGAAAAAAAATCAATCCAACATTTTACATTGTTAAGTAATGTAAAATTTTAGCTGTATTAAATATGTATAATTCATTTTCCATTTATGATATGCTGCTTTCATACACTGAGATTTTTTTATTTATTTTCTAGGCTTACGAAAAAGGAATCTCTCTTTTCAAATGGCCTAATGTTTATGATATTTGGAATACATATTTAGTGAAATTCTTGAAGCGATATGTAAGTTTTGCTTTAAAACTTTATATATTTTAAGAGTCCATGATAACTCCATATCTCTGTCTTTATTTTATTGCTTACTTTCTTCATATGTATGAAATTATTCATTATGTTGTGAAATTTGATAATTTTTATGAATTTACATATTCAGTGTATTCAGATATTGATATTCAGTGTTCTTAATAGTATTTAAATATTTTTCTTGTTGCTTTTAATTATTGTGTAAAAAATTGGCAGCTTCTAACAAAATATTTTTTTTATTCCATACTTCCATATCTTTTTTGCTATTAAAAATATTCATAGCTTACTCTTTTTTATATTAAAAATTTCAAAGTTAATTTCAATTTCTGTAAATTTTTCTTTTAGCTGTTAAAAATAATTATAGATTTACAATTAAATTCCATATTTATTAAATATCTTACAAAAAAATAAAATGCAAAGTATGTAACAAAAATCTAGCTAAAAGGAACATACAGCGAAACCTTGATTAACAAATATTAAATACATATATATGCAAAGTGTTTAATGAAAATCTATCAAAGAACATATAGTGAAACCTGGCTTCACAAATATTAAATACATATATGCAAATTATGTAATAAAAATCAATCTGAAAGAATATATGTTGAAATCTCAATTGACAAATGTAATTTGTTCCCGAGGATATTTGTTCTTAATGTCATTCATAATTCCTGAACATCATTCGTAATGTTCATAAGCTGAAACTATCTTTGCTTTAGGAAATAAGTAAAATGGATTTATCCATTCCTGGAATACAGTTGGTTTCTTATTTAAACTCTGCTACTGTACTTTTTTCCCAAGTTGATAACATACAATCAACAGAAATCATAAGACAAGAAAGTAAATAAATAAAATCTGAACGCTTTCAGATTTCACTAAATGCCCAAAAGGGCCTTTTTTTTTTTAACATTTTGTGTGTTATCTTTATTTATTAAATATCATGTTATTTGCACTTAAATGTTAAAATTCAGATCAACAGCAATATCGCAAAATAATTTTAAAATGAGTATATCTTGGAATTTGCTATACACAGTCTCACCCACTGGAGATAAAAATGTTTTTTCTCCCCCTCCCCGTACAGTGTTGCAATTGCTCGCTTTGAAACTGTTGAGTTTATTAATAAAAAATTCATTAAAGTTTTACAAAATATGAAATAAGGGGTACTTTTCCGTTTCGCCGGTGCAAATCTCACCAAGCAGACTTTATTGGCGACAACACACAGTATACACATAAAAAAATGTTAGTTCTATGAAATTTTTATTTTGAATTCATGAACATTTTAATATTGTTTAAAAATATGTAAAAAGACAATAAATAAGGACAATAAATTTGTAAAAAGACATTAATTCAAGAATTTACTATGCTTTCATGGTGCAACATCCTGGTTTACCATTTCATATCACGTGACCCCAAGTGATCTCATCTTACATAAACTATGCTACAAAAATCTAATTCTCTCAGTAATTATCTACATTAATTTCAAGTTAAATCTTAATTTGGAATACAAGTGCAAGAATTATTTCAATTTGTACTAATAGCTTATTCAGAAATTATGTAAAATCGCAGTGCTTTACTTCGCTAGTGCATTCTCATTAGAAATTGATGAATTTAATCCTTGACTTTGCCTTTTCTGTGTTTTCGCCTTCGGGTGAGCGGTGTAATTGCATCCTAATTGACTTGATTACCGGGAATGGTCTTAGGGCATAAAAATTGAACTATCTGGTAAAAATTCTATGTAATTGTGTGCCAGTATTGAAAGAAACAATCAATTTGATAAGAAATGGCTGCAACTTGTTTTGAGAAATCTGATGAGAAATAGCTGCGACGTTGAGGTGTGAAAGGTTACCAGCAAGGATATTCTGTTTGGCATCAGTTGTGCCATTTTTGGCGACTTTATCGATTGCACCAGCAAAATGGAAAAGTACCGAAATAGGTAATAAAACAAACTCCAAATTGTATTTATAATGAATTACATAAACAACTGAATGGGAAAAAATACTTTTTCATCTTTTCATTGCATTAAATATAAATAATTTACCTTTTACAGGGTGGTACTAAGCTTGAAAGAACAAGAGATTTATTTGAACAATGCCTTGAACACTGTCCACGCAAATATGCTAAGTGTAAGTATTTTATTATTTTAACATATAGTTATAACATAGTTGCTTTTATTTATAAAATATTTGATAAAAATTGATTTCTTTAAATAAACTATTAAGAAATGAGATCTTTTGAATAGATTTCTTATAAACGTAAATAAAATCATTGAGTTTCAATAATAAACATTGTCTGAATTCTAGTAATGCAGATGTATATAAAATCATTAAATGATTATAAAAAATGGAAGCAAAAAATAATTAATTACAATTAACTCTTAGTTGTAACTTTATATAAAAAAATTATCTTCTATCTTTTTGTGTTTTTTCTTTTTTTAAATTAAAACACAATAAAAATTTTGTGAAAGGAAATTTTTGTAGATTGATAGATTATCTATCATAAAGACCTTTATGTTGTTAAGGAATGATAGAGTCAAAACCTTGCTATAACAAACCCAATTTATAGTGAACTCCTGGATATAACAGATATCTTTGTCCACTCGAGTTTGCAGTAGGTTTAGTGTTATGTTATATGGCTATAGAAAACTTTCAAATGTATAATAGAGATATATAACAAACTAGATTTTTTCTAAACTTTTCCAAAATTTCTGGAAATTATGGTATTTACATGTTAATGGAAAAAAGCCGAAATTCAGTTCACCAAAAAGAGGAGTGAATGGTTTCCAACTTTGGTGCCACAGCACAAATTAAAATCTATTGCAACTGGGTGATATTGCTAAGTTCCAGTTTGCAGGAAGTGAAGTTTTATTTGTGTCAGTCAAAGAGTGGATGGTGATATGGCAGTAACAAAACACCATTTTAAGTTGAACGTAGCAAAGTTCATATAGTGGCAGAATGTTATAGCTCAGGGGTAAAAACCCTTTGAATCTATTTCAGAAGCATTTGCCACCGGTTAAAAGAAAAACTAATTGTATCAAACTACAGTACCCTTCTGTGTTCAGCACTTGATACAGAAATGTATGAATGAACGTATGTGTGTGTGCATACATACATATAAATACGAATATATACATACATTTCTGAATCCGATTCCAATAACAGAAGAGTACCCAAATTACTGCCAAAGTTAGCCCATCCTTCTCTTTCAACACGCAAGTACCTTAAATGCTTCCTAAATTATTAACCCTTAAATTTGTTTGTTTAGCCTATTAGAATAATGAGGAACATATTTACTTTACTGTTCATTTATCTTCACTCCCACTTTATTCTCTTTGTCCCAAAAAAGCTTATGAGGCAGGTAAATGGTGTCTCAGTTCTTGAAAAGCAAAATAAAAATTAGCATATCTTAAATGATCCTATTGTGTAATGTGCTGAGCCAAAGAACCATTGATCCATTGAGACAAGAGCTTATCTATTATTTGATTCCATTCGAGGTTTATTGATTGAACTGTCAAGCAGCAGTCTGTTTTCATGCTAAGTATTTTTACTTCCTTGTATGAATTAAAGGAAGTATTGTAATCATGGAATATTTCTGGTATCATTTTTCAAAGAAAATATCAATTTTTGCTGCTCTCGAATCCGTTTGAAAGATGGTTTTGCATGACAACTGTATGTACGGACAGACTAAAGAACTCTTTTTTCCGAAACGGGTTGTAAAATGGATTCAGGAGAGATTTTTTTTGTGATGTTTGTACGTATGTCTGTATCTTGCATAACTCAAAAACAAGTAGCCATAGAATGTTGAAATTGAATGTATGGGACTGCAATAATGTGTAGATGTGCACCTCCCTTTTTGGATGAAATTGGCTACACCAAACTGATATATATACATATACATATTGCCCTTCTGTTACCTGGCTCGTTGGGCTCTTTTTTTTTGTTCTTCTGAGTTTGTAAATTGTGCATTTTTTCTTTAAAAGTGTGTGAAGTTATGTTTTTCTTATGTTCTGATTTAGATTTTTATGACTTTAATTAATCTGCATGCAGTTGTTGTAGAATTATCAACAATTTAAAAGTTGTTTAAGTGTTACTAAGTGAGGCCACTATTTGTTTACATTTGAAACTCTTAGTCGAATTTTTTAAATTAAAGTTAGTACCAACTGTAACTAACATTGGAAGATGTCACAATGCTAATTACTTCTGTGTGATTTATCAATTAATTTTTACACTATTTTTGAAAAATAATATTTTTTTTTTCCTTATCAGATTAAACATAGTAAACCATCGGATATAACAAACCAAGCATTTGGTACTTTGAAATTTGTTATAGCAGGATACGAATGTATTAAGTCTGTCTTTCTGTGTACATATATGTGTGTATGTACACTGGGAGGAAAAAAAAAAAAAAGGCGGAGTAGTTCTATATCTCTCATTCTATTGTGCCAATTGACAAAATTCAACTTGGATTTTTCATGTCTCAAAAGCACAACTTGGGATGTGTATTACGTTTATATATAGCATTGTTCTAATATAAGTATTTTGGCACAAATCGGACTTTTTCTGAAATGGCATGCCAATTTTTTGCGATATTTCAATTCTAGGACTCAACTTATGCCAAACTGCCAAGTTCTGTAAAAAATGAGTTCTCAAAATTTTAGCTTCTTCATGCTAATTGAATCTTGTATATATTTAGCAGTAAATATCTTGTAAATCTCTCTTTTTTTTTTTTATTAAATTTATATGATTCTTCCTTCACATTTCAAAATTTAGGTTCATTTCAAATAAAATTCACCCATTTTGTATGATTTATTTTTAAAATAATTTTTATAAATTTTTCAAAAAACATTTTGAATTATAACGTATAAAAGTTTTTATGATCATATTAAAGCAGATGTATTTCTAAGCATGCAATATTAGAATTTTTTATTCAAAATTTCCTAAGATATATGTGAATTTACATATTGGCACATTTTGAAATTTTTCATATTTGTGATAAGGGAAGGAAAGTATATTACTATAAATTAAGAAATTCATCAAGTGAATTATTCTGAACTGTGAAAAAAAAAAAAAAAAAAAAAAAAAAAAAAAAAAAAAAAAAAAAAATTGGGCTGAGATAAATTTTTTAATTTCTCCATAAATTTCACACCAAATTTCACAAAATTTAATGTATATAATTTGGAGCGTAGAATGAAGCGTAAGTTGTGCTTTTAAGACATGAAAAATGCAATTTGAATTTCGTCAATCGGTCCAGTAGAATGGTAAATAACTGTCCCTTTATTTTTTGCACACTGTACATAGCAAATTATCTCTATTCCACTTTGCTATTATTTTAAAGTACACTTTGAAATTCTATATTGATTTAGCAAATTGGTTGTGCTGACTTTCGATATATACTAATTTTGGAAGTTTATATTAATTATTAGAAAAATTATGCTGATGCATAATAATAAAATAAAAGTAATAAGTATTTTAGTAATATAAAAAGGAAATAAATTATTAGATCTTGCCATATTAATGTACATTACTGTTGTAGTATTGCGGATAGATATACATTTAGATTATTATAATTTAAAATGTCTATTTTGAAACCAGTTCATCTTTTATAAAAATACTTTAGTTTTTGTTACGTATAAAACATGACTGAAACTCATTATATTTTGTTTTTCTGTAAATAGCTGCTGATTGATTACATCTTAAAACATGACTTGTATTATATCTTTAAAAATTCATTATGTTCTTTTTTCTGTAAATAGCTATTTATTTACTTTATGCAAAGCTAGAAGAAGAACACGGTTTAGCAAGGCATGCCATGGCAGTATATGAAAGAGCAACAAAAGCAGTGCTACCTGAAGAACAATTTGAGGTTTGATTTTTTTTTTTTTGGCTTATTGTTAAAACAAAATTACATTTTGATTGTATCATGTTTATATTTTTATTTTGTATCTTATTGTGTTGTTTTGAAAAGTATTACATATACATCTTTTAAAATTGGTCAATACCTGAACTCAATTGTATAATTCTGCAAGTCTGGTTTGAATGTCAAAGATATAAATTCAGCAAAACTGAATAGGGCAAATCAAATCAAACTAAGATGAGATGTAATAAATTGCAATTATTGCATTATATAATATAAAATATTAACTTTCTAATTATTAGAAACTGATCACACAAATTATTGTTGAATGTTGATAAGTTCTATGAAAGCATTTGAGTAGTTGTAGAAAGATTAAAAAACTTAGAAGATGAGTCTTTCATGAACTCATCAATAAATAATCATATAAATAATCAAATAATCATCAGAAGCAGCAAAAATTTGAGATTTTGGAGTTAATTTCAATAAACTTCCAGGACATAAACATAGTATTCTGGACCTTCCTAATCTTGCTTTGTCATTTAGGAAAGGCATATCTTAGGGATAGTGGAAGGAATTACAAAAGCGGGGCATTGTTCACTTTTTATTCCTTAGGCTTGATCAGAGGATTAATGCTTATTCATATTGTTATGAAGCTAAGGGGTTATATAGAAAGATAGCTCAATGAACTTTGCACAGAAATCCCATTAACTAGTTACCGACCGGTAGTCTATTAACCCGCGGGAAGGCGCGTGGGGTGTAGTATACCCCACCCCTACAAAACAGAGGAATATTCCTAACTTGTGAAACCAGAAATTTTGTGTCCTTTTCAGTAGCTGAGTTTCTAGTAGTGTATGACCTTCAGACCCGGTTTACTGTTGCATCTGTTTTTCAGAAAAATATTTATTGGTATTTGTTGGAACTGGGGTATGACACACCCCACGTGCCTGTCCACGTAATTTTTTTTCTGACGGAATATTTGTTTCAGAAATTAAATTCTAGAGAAAAACAATAAATATTTCTACTTGCAAGGGATTTTTAAAGTAGCTAACATTATATTTTTTTTACAGGATTTTTTAGTGCATTATAGCAGAAAAGAATGAGTCCCTATGAATTGGAGATGCAACGGCTGCGAGATTTATTAGAAATAGTTGAAAGTGATGAAGATTGCATTTCGGAAATTGAAGGTGATACTGACTGTGAAATATTTAGTGAACATAACAATAAAGATACAGAAGATGATGATTGAACTGGATGATGCTAAAGATGATGATGTTTCTGATGATTTTGTTGGAAAAGATGGAAAAATGGTGTGAAAAAAAAAAAAAAAAAAGAAAGAAATTTAGACAAAATGTAAGAGTTTGTGCGCATAATATTATGACTCATCTTCCAGGACCTGTAAGAGAAGCCAGAAATGTTACTGATCCCTTTAGTAGTTGGAATATTCTTATTGATAATAGTATATTGTCAATGATTGTAGAATGTACGAATTTATATATTTCTGAGGTAGTTTTAAATTATAAACGTGAAAGAGATGCGAAAGCTACGGACGTGGTCGAGATAAAAGCAGTTATAGGACTTTTATATTTATGTGGCCTTCACAAGTCGTCGCATCTCAACGTAAAGGAACCTTTGGGCTACTGACGGTACAGGTATTGAAATTTTTCACACAACAATGAACTATAAGCGATTTTTATTTCTTTTACGTTGCATGCGTTTCGATAAATTGCTAGACAGGCCACAGAGAAAACACTTTGATAAATTAGCCGCAATTAGAGATTTCTTTCAAAAATGTATTTCAAATTGCAAAGATTCCTATAATTTAGGTGAGTACGTCACTATTGATGAGAAACTCGAACCCTTTCGAGGCCGATGTGGGTTCCGGCCAACATGTATGCCGAACAAACCAGCAAAATACGGAATCAAGATTTTTGCACTGGTAGACTCAAGAACTTTTTATACTTCTAATATGGAAATATACTGCGGTACACAGCCAGATTGGTCTCTTCAAGGTCAGTACCAGTCCATCTGACGTTGTGAAAGATTAATTCAACCACTGTATAAATCTGGCAGAAATATTACTACAGATAACTGGTATACGAGTTACCCACTAGCTGCAGATCTTCTAAAAGAAAAGCTGACAATAGTAGGAACAATGTGGAAAAACAAAAGGGAAATTCCTCCTACTTTTGTTACTTCTAAGGGAAGGGAAATATTTTCTACACTTTTTGGTTTTGAAAAAGATAAAACATTAATTTCTTATGTTCCTAAAAAAAGGAAAAACTGTTCTTATGCTTTCAACATTACATAACGATGATGGTATAGATGATATTACTGGAGAAAAGAAAAAGCCAGAAATGATATGTTTTTATAATATGACTAAGGGAGCAGTGGATATGGTAGATGAAATGGCAGCAAGTTATTCAGTTGCCAGAATAACAAGGAGATGGCCAATGGTAATTTTTTTTTCTGCACTGAATATTGCTGCAATAAATGCTCGAATCATGTTGCTATCAACTGCTAATCCACCAACCAGATATAGAAGCAGATGTCTGTTTTTGAAGGACTTAGCATTAGAACTAATTAAAAATCGTATTGAACAAAGATCAGAGATTAATATACTAACGAGAAATTTACGTACGGCATGCAAAAGAAGAGCAGAAGTTTCTACGAATAATTCAAACGAATCTATGAAATTTGAAATAACTAAATATAAAGATGTGATGAATGTCCTCGAGCTAAAGATAGAAAAACGTGAATGCGATGTTCAAAATGTGAAATCTTTCTGTGCCAAGAACATATTAATGTATTTTGTTTCAAGTGTAAACAGATAAAATAAGCATTGTGTATCAAAGATGCAAAAAATAATTGAGAGGTATGATGTTTATTTTGTTATTATTTTCATTTATTTTTATTTTAACTCTATAAGCTTAATACTGGAAATTAATTTTTTTGTAACCCAAGGTTTATTCATGTATAATAAATGACAAAACTGGTTTAAAACTAAATAAAACGTTTTTTGAAACATATTTAAAATATTGGGGTATGTGATACCTCACATGCCCGCTCAAGTAACTTTTTTTGACGCGCCTTCCGCCGGGTTAATTGGCTTTTTATCACCAATGCCTACCGACCGATAGCCTATTAATCAGCTTTTCTTCGCCAACGCCTATTGACCGATTGCCTATTAATCGCTTTTTCTCGGGGCTACCTAAAAACAGCCTATCAATCAGTAGCCATGGTGATAAACAATTGCCATTTGCTATATCATCTGCATTTTATTATTAGTATTGAGGTACATTGCTCACTTGCGTTAAGCGCGTTGCTTTGTAAACTCGCACATTTTCACACCGTTTTAAAAAAAAAAATTACTGTTCACGATGAGCGAAAAAAATGGTACTGGAGAGTTTATTTAGACAATTTATCAAATTGTCCTGACAGTTATTTAGAACACGAGGAATCTGCGGCTGAGCGGTCGGTCAGACATGCGTATGCTGTTAACACACATTTCATATGGCTGTTAACCGTGAATGTTGAAAAAAAAAGTCTTGAAACATTCTTATCAATGTGTTCATGAGTACATTATGAAAAGAAACCATGACTGCATGCTGAGAAGAAATATTTTCGAAAGAAGTTTATCAATGACTTCAAAAGAACATTTTACTGTGTAAATATAGTTAGAAAGTAAAAGGGGAGATCTAGAAGCCAAATATTTGGTTAAAGAGTATGATGCTATTCCCAGGAATTCGAATTTTGTGAACTTTGGGAAGAGTATAAAATTGGGTATAGTTAATAATAATAGAAGGAATAAGTGATTTTATGAACTGTCATAGAAGTACTATATGGGAAAAACCTAATAATAAACCTATAACTTTGTTTGGAGAAATATCTCCAAATAAGTATCTCTGCATTTATGCACAGTCTGTACCAGTCCATCTACACACCGAAACATATTTCTAGTCCATTAGATAAGTGTTTCTGGTGCCTGCACCAGGAGTCAGGATCATTGCATGTAGCATGTACATTCTGGTTGGAGACATATTTGGTGACAACCATTGAAATTCCATATGAGATCACATGTCTGAAAATTAATCTCCGGTATTGTCAGCTTTTAGCTTAATAATGTATGATGCAAATTGTTTGGAGTTTTTGTTACTTTAATGAACTGAATTTATGATGTGGCATTTCTTTCAGGTAATAACTTCCGATTGATTTCTTTATAAATAGAGTATGTTTTCACATTCATACAAGTGATGTGTTATTTTATGCTGTAGATCATTTTATTTTTTACCTAATTTGTTATCATTAGTTGAACCTTTTAGAATATTTTTTGTTAAAGGTGATTACTATATTCTTAAGCTCTAAGAAATTTGACAAACAAGAAAAACATAATATATCACCTGTTGCATTTGATTATATTTCTGATTTTCTATTGTTTTTGGGTTTTTAAACTTTTAAACCAGGTATAACTGGCTCAATTGCATGGCATATTTATTAATGGTTTAAATTTCTCATGAATGGGCAGATTATAAGTTCAAATCCAACTGAGCTATTTTCTGATTTTCCCCACTGAAAATAAATGTTTTATTGTTTTTGTAATTAACAGTTCTGTTAATATAAAAATTATTGAAATTTTTACTTCTTATTTAATTATTATATTATGAATGTTATTTTATTATGGTACAAAAACTTTTATATTAATTAATTATTTGTAATAATAATTTTATATTATATATAAATATGACTTCGATTTTTACGTTAGTTATAAAGTGATAAAATCAGTTTTTTCTCTTTCATGTATTTAAAATGGTGCTTTATTATGAATCTAATGGTGCTTTATTTCCTTCTTCACTTAAATGTATGATGTGTAAATAAATTCAGGCATACTTATGCCTGTATACAAAACATTTTGCAATTAATTTCTTTCTTTCTTCATTAATTTTATTTATTTATTTTTTAAATTTATAATTTTTATTTATTTTTGTATTTTGCATTCCATTGCCATTTTTAAG